TTTTTCGCACATCACAGTGCTAGATTTCCAGAACGCCCAGAGAACCGAGCCGATATCCGCTTTTACAAGAGAATCCTAGTGAAACTTCATTTCAGTGGCAAAAAGACAGCAGTTATGGTGCACACAGATAAAATAAATACGAAAAAATGTTGCACAAATCCAAGTGGTTGTTGCTTGTAATAAACATGCATATCTGAAAACACATCAATATTGTTTTTCTTTTGTCCCTTTTTTAACTTTTTGTTGTCAAAGATTCGAAAAATTATCGATAGAGGCTGATTTTGCTAGCTTCATCTCCCGGCATTTGGAGGATATCTGAGAGTTTTAGGAAATTTTGCTATATAACTAAACTGTATAATTTTGCTACATAACTAAAGGCCAAGTTCCGATCGGTCACCAGCTTTCATTATCGTTTTGAAAACATCGCCAACAAAAACACAACTTTGACGAAATTCTTCACCTCATAAGTAAAAAAAATCTGAACAGCAGTTTGTACCTTACATTATTGCTTCAACGAATCACCTAAGGACGCAGGAAGAGAGCGTTACAAATTGAATCTAATCCAAAAACAAGCACATCAAAAAACTAATCTCATACCAGGAACATTAACAGTGCCTAGACTGTCTATGTGAGGATCCTATAATAGTAATACTACTGGGATGCTAAAACCCGTCAAGTGGCAGCTGATGTCATTTTCTTTAATTTTGGGCTACACTCACTGCCTAGCCCATGAATTTGTTTCGTCCCTTCAGAAGCTATCCAAACGTTGTTTACTTCACCGCAGGAACAGATATAATCCGGGAGGTCCACTGGTCAACAGCAAAACGAGCAAGGCGCTCTGTTCATCGGTTCTCGTATGGTCGGAATGCAACCCACACATTTCTCATTTGCCAGAGAGTCTGACTGTTTACATGGTCAAGACGAAACATTAGAAGGATCGATCCTTAGTTCCACTGCTTTCGATTTCAAAGCCACATTTTGCTCTTTTGCTTTCGCCAGCGGCCACACTTTGCATCCGTACGAAAATACCCTCAGTTCGGTGGTAGTAAGGGAGGTGGATACGGTGCAAAATGTGTTGAAAACACTGGTCAGGTTGCGACACGTGCACGAACAGCAGTTCTTAGAAGTGCGATTCCCGGCTGAGCGCATTGGGAAGTGTTTTTACTTTCTGGTCAAGATAGCTGTAGTAGCTTCCTTCAAATCAACGTCATCTGTATGCAAGTTGGCCACAGGCATATTGACATCCTGCATCAGCTTTGCTTTCGAAGCGTTAATTTTCAGGTCCACTTAAATGCTCGTCATTGATGGCTAACCAAATCTCCAGCTTCGGTCCAGGATGAGCCTACACCTTTTTTTAAAATTCAAAAACACTGCTTATTTGAATCAGAAAGATTAGAATATTCAATTTTCTTCGAAAATGATATGAGCATTTCAGTATTGACTGCTTCAGTGATCTTAAGGGTTGGAG